TACAAACTAAAAATGGGGAAAAGACTTGCATTAGCTTATTCCTACCATAATCATTCAAATATATGCAATACTTTTACTTTAAAAAGAGTGTGATTTCATTTAATCTTCACAATACTTCAGACAAGAGGTATTATTACTTTCATTGTACAATAAAGGAAACAAAAAGTTTAGGAAAGTTTCCAGGTAGTAAAGGACAAAAAAGACAATTGAACTAAAATATCTTAATTCCTTATTGTGAAGAAAAAACTAATGCAATATTACTAGATCACAGCTAGCTTTGCCATTTTACATCAATCAGTGTTATGAATCCAGAACCATATTTTAAAAGTTCATTTTAATGATAAAATAACAAGTGCACATTATAAAGTAATGTAAGAAATGCAGAGAAGTATGAAAAGTTTTAAATCACCCATACTTGAGTGGCTCAAAAATAACCAGTGTGACTGTTTTGACATATTTCCTCCAAACATTTTTCTGTGCATTTATATTTAACATTGTATTTTCTTTTTTATTATTGAGTTTATTGGTACTTTTAAGTATACAGTAGAGTTATATTTAGCATTGGAATCTTGTACTTTTACGTGACGGATCTTGGTTCTCATTTTTCCCCATACCCCTGCCCTCCCTCATCCCTCTCTCCTCCCCTATTTACAAAGACTTTGTTTCCATTTTTTCCTTTTATCATATTTTTTCTTGACTGCTATCAAGAAATCAATCAATAACAAATGTTGGTGGGGTAGTGGGAAGAAAGTAACCCTTCTCCATTGTTGGTGGGAGTACAGACTGGTGCAACCACTATGGAAATCAGTATGGAGGTACTTCAAAGAGCTTGGACTGAAGGTTGCATTTGACCCAGCCATCTCTCTGCTGGGTATCTTTCCAAAAGAACTAAAAGAATCGTATCACAGAGAAGTATGCGCACCCATGTTTATAGAAGCACAGTTTGTAATAGCTAAAACTCGGAAACAGCCCAACTGCCCATCAGTCAGAGAATGGTAAAAGAAGATGTCGTTTTTCTTTAAAATGCAGTACTACTCAACCATAAAGAATGAGAAACTAGTCATTCATAGGAAAATGGATGCATATTGAGACCATACTCTTAAGTGAAATAAGTAAGACACACATGTGTAAGCACCAAATAGTTTCTCTGGTGTGAAAAACCAAAAGTGTAGATAAGTTCCATATTGTATAACTGACAATGTGAAATAGGAAGAAAAAATGAAAAGGTGTAGGGGAAGTGGGAAGCATAGGGGAAAGGAAATAAGGGAAAAGATAACATTGTATTTTCTATTTAGAGTTTTTTATCTCCTGATTTTATGATTTGGAGGAAAGTAAAGTGGCATTCTAACCTTACTATATTTGAAATTTTACTGTGTTGCCACTGAATGACCTATTTTCTTCCTGGATATTTAAATATAAATAAAAAATTAGTCCACCCTTCTTGAGTGTACTCTTTTTTTCCAGCATTAAAACCATGGCCTATTCTTATTTTCAACCATGTTTCTCAAAATATAGCCTGAACATTGGAAGCACCAGCAGCACATAGGAGCCTATTATGTCTGCAAATTCCCTACTGAGTCACTCCCTTGGAAGGGAATGAGGCCAAGGATTTCCATTTTAACAAGCTCTCCAGGTGATTCTCACACATGCAAAAGTTTAGATTCAAGTATCTTGCTGTCTATGCATGTTCATGAGGCAAAAACAATCTGTTGAAGGCTAAAGACAAATCAAATGATTGTTTTAATTGGAAGAAAAAGAGTAGAGATTCTTGATTAGCAAAATTTCCTAGACCCATATGCCTCTAACAAGTACTACATACTAATTTCTTGAATGAAGGTCCGCAGCCTCTAAAATGTCTACACATTGTAGACATTAAAATTGTAGACTGTAGAAATATGGTAATAGACTTATCATCCAATTAGCCTTTACTACGTACATGCTTTTTCTTGGCTAGTCAACTAATAACGCCTTTGTCAAAATCAGAATAGGCCAAGAATAGAGCTTTAGATTCAGTTCAAATATATTTTCCTCAGCATGTGCCATGTTAAATCATATAGAGTAGAAAAGAAAAACATTGTATAGATTTCACTCTCATGATGACTCACAGTTGTATTAGGAAATAAAACTTTTCAGCATTAAAATCAATAAACCGTCAATTAAGTTCTAAATCAACAATAATCAAGTATTAGAGTACATGAGATAAGCAACAATTGTCCTTGACTGTGCAACAGCATAGACATTTTGGCTAGGGAGAGGCCCCTTAAGAAGGAGAGATTTCTTGTAATTCCAGCATTCTGGAGGCTGAGGCAGGAGAATTATAGGTTTGAGCCAGCTTGAGCCACTTAGTGACTTAGCAAAACTCTGCCTCAAAATAAAGAATGAAAACGTAAAAAGTGGGGAGGGGGGATGTTGAGGACGTAGCTCAGTGTGAAGGCCCTGGATTTCATCTCCACTACAAAAAAAAAGAGGAATTTAATTTGTACATTGATAATAAAATGCCATCTATTAAAAATGTACTATGGGCCAGGCACTATGTTAAGCAATTAATGTGGATTATACAATTATTCTTGTCCTCATAGGGTGGATACTGCAATGCATTGATTGTACTTGTTTTCCAGAGAAGGCTAAAGAGGATTAGGGTCTTTTGCCCATGTTATATATAAGTAATGCACTGCGGCATTCGAATTCGGACCCAACTCTGTTGTACTGCAGAGTCCTGTTTCTTATCACTTCTACCTCAATTGATAACTCTATTTGCAAAGTTGTGTAGACTGAGAAAGAGGCTTATGGAAGGTGAAACATAGGATGGATGAGCATGAACTAAGTGAGAGGTTGCAGGGAAAATGTGGCAGAGCAGAACACAGGGTCAATGTTGGCAGGGTGCTACACCCAAGAAAGACATATTGGGACTGTGAAAATTCCTGCATTCATGGATGATAATCTCTGATATAGCATCATTAACTTTGATGAATACTGCACAATTTTGAACATAATGCAAGTGGTATTTTAAGATTTCACTAATGTAAATTAAAAAGCATACTTTGGTGAGAAGTGAAGAGATAGTTGGGTAGAACAATCCATTAATATAGTGGCTTTTGTAAATCAGATACCAGATACTAAGAGCAAGGACTGGGCAGAAGGAGAATAAATATTAACTTCTAGAAAAGAAAGATGAAAGGCTTTAATGGCAGATTGGCCATAGGGACTAAGAGGAAGACTTTAGAAGCCTGATTTTTTTCCAATTATTTTGAACTATACATAAAAATGTTAATAACTTGGAGTAACTGTCAATAACTAATTAATAAGGCAGTTTTCAGACATTATGAGTTTAGGTCATTCTTAACTGTCCTTTGTTCCACTACTTACTTCAGTTGGTCTCCATATCCTGTTGATCTTAAAAACATTCGAGTCAGTCCCATCTACTTTACACAGTCATGTTGCTTTGGTTCAGGTGCTGATCATCTTCCAATTAGCAATGGTGGTAACAACCTAATGCTTTCTTTACCATGACATTTACTTAATCTCTTTCCTAACGTCTATTGTTTCACTGCATGGAATCATCTGATTATGTCATCCACGAGTTTGCATGGTATTGCATTCAAGATCAAAAGTTTATTATCTAAATTAGATGTGTAGGAGATTAGAAGTGGAGACACTGATTATTATAAGGGGCCAAAATAGGGAGGGGCTCTCCTTCCCTTTCTAGCCACACCTCTCCCAGTAACACACACTGCATGCATAAGCAATGCCTAAATGGTTAGTGAACAAACCCTGCCCCAAAGTTCACATATCTGTGCTCTGCACAGCTAGATTTGCAGAGCTTGACCTGTGCAATACATTGCAAGAACTCAGTAAATATTTCCAGAAGGAAGGGAGAGAGCAATGCATACATCAAAGAATTTGACAAATGTTTTAGTCTAGTGTGTTTCATTGTTGTTAAAATAGACTTGGAGGTCTAACATCATTGTTAGGAAGCCACAGAAAGCTAAGGGGAGGCAAAGAGGACTTGTTCAGAGAAAGGGTAAAGGTCTCCCACTAGACTCCGCGTTTCATCATTTAGCACACACCAGATCCCAGGTAAATGATTCAAGTGTGCTTTCAAAAAAATCTCCATTACATGTGGGTCAGATAGAATTTCACCAGAAATAGTTCTTAGTTCTGTGAAGACATCTTTCATATTCCTCATAAATATGAGTCAGAGCTGTTGGGGAAAGGAGCTTTTGCAATAATATTTTAGACAGTCTTACTACAAAGGAGATATGTAAATCCTCATTTTGCACCTCTGCAAACAGGTACAGTCTAGGTAAGAAAATTTGTCACAGGCATGTTAATAAAAAGGAAAGCAATGAAAAAGAACCTATGATTTAATTACATGAATGTTAGCTTTTTCAAGTAGGTTTGATATAATTAAAGCACCTGTAACAAAATGAATCGAGAAAATTTCCTTCTCACTTTTCCTGAGATAATGGAAGATTAGAAAGCACATGCTACTCATGGAAATTTATATGAATTATGCTAACATGTGCGTGCGCACATGTGTGTGTGTGTGTGTGTATGAGACAGAGAGAAAGAGAGATGAAGACTTTTCTCCCTTCTCTTGAGAGCCCACCAAAGCACTCAGTATTTATGATATTTTAAAATAATGCCTCTTATGTTAAGAAGATGATAGATTTATAGTTATCAATAACTATAAATTATGTTTTTGTGGGCATGAGCCTCCATAAGATAAGCATTACATTTGTTTAATGATTTGTCAATTGTTTTAGTTATTTTCCCAACTATAAAGCCATATCAGGAACTTGCTATCTTTGTTAAGTCATAAATGTCTATGAGGAAAACAAATGAGCCATGAACTTAAATTTAGAGAAAAAGAATGTTCCCTTGAACAGGAGGAGGTACTGCCAACAGTGGCTCATGGGCTGGGCTGGCTGTGGTTCTGGGGTGCTGGCCTGGGGAGCTATGGATTTCCTGCTATGTTCACACAGGATATTTCTTTCCAGCCATCTATGAGCCCTCCTGTGAAGCATACAAACACCTGGGCCAGACGTCCAATTACTACTGGATAGATCCTGATGGCAGTGGACCGCTGGGGCCTCTGAAAGTTTACTGCAACATGACAGGTAATTATGTCATATTTATGTTTTATGAAGATGGTTTTCTATATGTGGAGAATAAATAGTTCCAAGGGTGGCTTGTTTCTTCGGTGCTGTATTCTTATCACAACGTCTAATGAGTTATGTGTTGCTGTATTTTTTTATCGAAAATGGTGAGACATAATGCTATAGCAATAGAAACTGAAAATGTCAGATATGACATTTTTTTCAGAAGTCTGACTTTCATTTGACCAGTTAGTCATGGACACCGAAAATAATTCATATTTAAGGGAAAGACTCAAGAAAGCAAAGTTCCAAAGTTGAAGTCCACAGAAAGAATTGACCCATGAAACGACCTACCCTCATAATCTAGATGAGGAGATCTAGTATTGCTGCTCGGATATCTTTGCTGCCCATGTTAGGGGAAGCTTCTAGCCCACTCCAGATTTTCCTCTCTATCCCATGACTATAGAAAGAACCTTTCAGTGCACTGAAATCCCTTTCTCAGAATAGCAAAGATTACCTGAAAAATTCATAAAATTTCTTTGAGGAGAGAACCTTGGTTTTGTTTCTTCAATTCCACAATAAATTTCAGGGATATAAAATGAGATTATAGCTTCTTATAAACTCCAAAAGAAGTAGGTAGGATGTGCATATCTTTAAGTTAAGGGCAAATTTTTCATCAGACACATGGCAACATCTTACCCTCCAAAACTCCAGAAAAGGATCTGAGACAAGCACTGTTTACTGCATTCAAAACAGGACCAGCATTCTAAGTGAAGTCCTGAGGCAAATGATGCTAAGGATAATGATGCTACTGATAGTGACTGCTACATGTACCTGTTTACCACTTATCGGGAACCACCAATTCTTTATTCAGGCACCTGGGTTTGTATCCGGGCTTTATCAGTCTCCAGATATGTAAACATGGGTATCTTAGTTAAAACAATAAACATCAGTACTTTTAGCTTTACAATGGATTAGAAATAATACCTACCTCATAAAATTATTGTAGCGTAAAATAAGATAACCCACAATTGAATTTTAGCATACTAGTAAAATTTCAGTAAAGCTTACTGGAGAGCAATGTATTATTAGTGTTAATTTTAATAGATGTCAAGAGTTAAGTCATTTGGCCACATCATTCAGGAAGGGTGAAAATTGAAATCTCTTTGAGGCCAGTGCTTCTTAAATCTGGCCATGTTTTGTAATAATTTTTCAAATTTTATTTTATTGTTCCTTTTTATAAAAAACTTTTTGGTTTCACCTCTGGAGAATTTAGTTCAGTAGTCCTCCATTGCAAATAAGATTGTGCAACTAGAATGTAAGGTCTTAAGCAGTATAGTAAGCAGGCAGGCCAGGTGAGAACCCTCAGTACAACCAGGAAGACAGGCATAATACAGAGTGGCAGGGACAAGGACAAGGACATGATAAGAGTCTGTACAACATGCAGAGATGATGGTAACATGGGAGCCAAATCCCTATGATTTTCTCCCATGCAAACAAATCCAGATTTGCACTAGAGAAAGAATCTACGTCCCAGAGATTTGGCCTAAGAGTTCTCTGATGGCTGCCCTTCTCAATATACCAAAACCTTTTTTGTTGACCCTATTTTTATTCTTACTAGAACTGAAGTATAATCTACAAAACTCACTTTAATCTATAAGAGTCCTGATCTTGGTTTCTCCTCATATAAATAAATTTATAACATCATTAAAGTCAACTATTAGGCTCAAGGGAAATCAAGTCATACTGATTGGGAATGGACAGTTAACTATTTAGTAGTTTTCCTACGTTTACTAAAAAATTAGGAAAACAAAACCATGATATTTACAGTCCTCATATCAAGGGCACACACACAATGAAAGGCTGGTTTAGTTTCAGAAGATCTTGCCTTCTGGAATGGGACCATTCACTCAGAAACATAGATGTATGTGTAGTGATATCTCTGTTGTAGAGTCTGTCTATAATGTATGCTCCAGGTGAGTCTGAGCAGGAAGGATTACAGCCTTGTACAGTTAGAAAAATTGCCTTCTGTCTATTCAAATGGTTATGAGCATAAGTATGTACAAGAACCCTTGAAAAATCTTGCCTGTTCATCAGCAGGCATCTTTTAGCCCTTTGCCACCCATCAACCTTTCCTTCTGGGAGGAATATAGACTTGCAATCATCAACAGAGCATGATACTACCAACCGTGGCTTGAGATTTGTAGTAAAGAAGAGAGAATAACAGCCTGATATATTCTATAATTTCTTTTTCATTACTGGGTATTGAACTCACAGCCCTTGCACTGTTCCTTCCCTAGCCCTTTTATTTTTGCTAAGCTATTAAACTGTTCCCCAGGCTTAGTTATAAATCATGATCTTCCTGTCTCAGCCTCCAGACTACTAAAATTCCAAACATGCACCATCAAGATCAACATGTATAGATATCTATAAATGTTTGCTATATGACTGTGTTATGAGAAATTATAAATGAACCCAAAGCTGAAAGGAAAAAAGGGGAGATGGCACTGAAAAACAGAGAAAAAAAGGATCCTTATAAGTTAATGCCTCAATGCATGAAAGAGATTTGTTCACACCAAGGAATGGAAATTCATGTGAGTGGAGCATAGAGATCCTCAAAGTGGGGCTCATGTGCAGGGGGGAGATCAGAAGTAAGGATTGTAGTACAGATAACAGAAGTTTAGGTTTTTGTTTGTTTGTTTGTTATTTTTCAACTGCAGGGAGTAGGAATCCAGTGAGGCATTTTGAGCAGGAGAATGAGAAGACTTTGAAGGCTTTTAAAATCAATACTTGGTTTATTATTAAAGGTGGTATAAAAGCTTGGGGACCACTTTAAAGTTACTGTACAAATAGAAGGAAGAGATGAGCCTTCTGTGGAACAGAGTGGTCTGAATTTAAGTGATGAAAAATACATAGATTTTAGACCTTTTTGAAAGTAGAACTGTGAATATTGGCAAAGGATTGAATAAGAATGGTTAAAGATCAATGACAAAGACAGTTGTAGTCAATCAGAAATCCTAATATGGATTGGGTAACTTGGTGAGTTGAAGTTCCATTAAGTAGATGTGGAAAAGTAAGAGGAAAACAGATTTAGAAGCTAACGAGTATGAAGTGCTATCTATTGGTCTAAATTGAGAAACAGATGTTTCAGTTAGATGAGTCCCAAAAGAAGGTTTGGATTCGAGATAGAAATGGGTTAAGTGTTATCTTATGACTATATGAGAATCAGTTACATCATGCAGGAATGATGTTAACAAAGAGAAGTCATCTTGGGAAGGAGTGCTTACATAATCAACAGAGATCAGGATTTTGTGATGAAATATTGAGAGTGGTGAAGGAAGAGTATCCGAAATCCATTTGAGACAAATGCATCCTCTGTGAGGTGTTGTAACAACTACTGGGCTCCTGAAGAATATATAGTGACTGTGAGTCAGTGAAAAAGCATTTCTTCAATGCAGCAGAATACCAGAAGTATGGGAAATTGTAGCAACTAGGATGCGGGAAAAATTTGACATGGTCATAAGTGATGAGCTATCTAAGGGGCCCAGGAAGACATACTGGGAAAATGACAGATTGAGCTACATCTTTTGGAAATCATGGGTGCTGTCAGTGACAGCAGAGTTTGAGTTCTGCATGGGTAACATTGAGAAGAAAATATTTTCACTCAATCATTTGCAGATGAATTCATTATTTGGTGAAAACCAAATCTTGGTTTCCATTACACCTCAGGACACATTATGAAATGTGGTCACTTTTATTCTGGCTCTCCTTTTCTGTTCAATATCCTCTCTTTGAACATTTGGTACCATAATTTTAAAGAATGTACACTACCTCAAATTTCCAACATTTGCCTCTTTTAATTGTACATTGTTTTCTAACATTTTAGCTTCATATTTCTATTCTGTTAGATATCTACCAACATTCCTTCTATTGAAACCTTAAACTTTTATATTTCAGACTGCATTTACTTCTTGCTCAATGACTAATAACAAAAATAATTTTAAAAAGCTAGTTGAATGTTCCTGCCTATCGCTAAACTAAAAATAATATTTTCTTAACATTCTACCCTCTAATTTGTGTCCTCTACAACTTTTTGCATTCATATTTAATTTTCTTAAAATTTGAATAAGCAATTGTGCTTTAGTTAGTGAAGTTTAAAATCCAAATAAAGAACACCTCTTGCATTCTTCCTAGCATTGGTTTTGTAGTTTTATCAGAAAGCCATTAAGTTTGTTTACATAATTTGTGCTTTTTAAAGCCCTGGGATTTGGCTGATCAAATTCTATTATCCTGTATAATGGTAAAAGCTGTTCATGTCTTTTTAATCTAATATTTATAAAGAGCTTGTTGCTCAAGTTGCTAAGCACTTGCACTGGATAATATTATTTTATTTATTACTATGCTTCTCACAAGTTTCAGTGGTGAAGTCTGCAGTAGGGAAATGAGTCACCAGGATAGTAGACTTGGGATCTAATGAAATATATCACAGGCCAATGCACCCCTACTCCCTACCCCAGAAAAGCGAAAGCTTTCCTTCCCCTGTGGTGTTCATTTTCTTATGAATACTCATAACAACACACATTTATTATCCCACAGCCCCTGTGGGTCGTGAGATGAATTGGTTGCACATGGTCAGCTAGGCTGAGACCACATTCTCCTCTGACACTTGGGATCTCCTTGGAAGTTTGTTCAAGCTGTTGAAAGACTCATTTCCTTGGGTTTTAAGACTTAGGTCTTATTTTCTTGCTGGCCACTGGTGGTGGATTGCTCTCATCCTCTGGAGCTACTCCCAGGTCCCAGTCAAAGGACTCTACAGGTGCAGCAGGACCCTCCTGACCACCAGACCTCTTCGAGTGCCCCCCTGCTAGTTTTTCCCTACCCAAGTTATTGCCCATTGGGTTAACTAAAACCAATTGATTAGACACCTCCATTACATCTGTAAATGCTCTTTGCCTTCACCTTAAGAGTAAGTCACTCCAGGACTGATAGCCTGTCATATTGGCAGTCCCTACCCACATACA